CACTCAGACTGAAGGCGTGTGTGACCACAGCGTGAGGACGTGTGAGCCGGACCTGGTCCAAGGTTCAGCTTAGGTTTAGATTTAGACCAGGGAGTGCCGCGTCCGCGACGGTCCCCACAGGGATAGATGTACAGGGATGTGTGTGTGTGTGTGGGGTGTTTGCAGCGCCACGAAGTCCAGACAGAGAGACGACACACACACACGCACGCACGCGCACACGCACGCGCACGCACACGCACGCACGCACACACACACACACACTAGAGGTGCTCTGGGATCCTGAAGGACACAAACATCACTTCACCATCAACTCTCTCCCTGATTGCATCAACTTTGCTAAGCCTCAAACGCCCCCATCATCATCATCATTTCTGGTCGCATGAATCCTGTCATTGGCGCTGTGATGGAGAGGGGGCGTGGCTTATCACCCTAAAGACCGTTCAACTTTCCGGCATTGTTTTTCCTTTACATCATCCATGAAAGACATAGCGACACACACGCTCCCAGCATTACATGATGCTAGCCGTTAGCCCATTTGATAGCTCGTCGGCTCAGATCTGCGACCCGGCTTGACCTCATCATACTTCTCTGCTGAGGCCACTGTGCCGTTGAGAGACACATCCAAACACGCGTTATCACTGTGTAAAGTTCCTTAATGTTGCTTAATATTGAGTAAAAAAAATACCCTACGCTATAATGTACGATCTTCAGTGCAGTAATAGGATGCTGTAAAAAGGTCGTTTGTTCAAAGTTGTCTTGTAAAACTACAGTGAACCTGAGCAAAGCAACATTGAACAAAGTGTATTTATTAAAATGTCATCCTCCATTTTTTCTGATTTGGCAATTGTCTGCAGGACGTCAGTGACAGCAGGGGAGCCTCTGAATGCTAACATGCTATCGCGCCGCAGCCCAATGCCATTTTGTTGCAAAAGTTGGAAAAATGGTCTATTTCGGCATTGGGCCCAAATTTGTAGAGAACAAACCCGCCGTGCTGTTACAAATTTGCGTCGCTCCAGGATCATAACGTCTAATAAATCATTTGCGTTGATCTTGGCGGCATAAGAGCTTCCTCTTGCACGTGCTGCAGTACCTCAGTCTGCCTGGGGGGGCGCTAATATCTGATGTGACATTGACAGGGGTTAAGGAGGTGTCCAACACTTGAACTCTTTCTTACCTGACCAGGCCGAGCTGAGCCAGAGTTTTGTGCCACGACGTACCTGCAGACAGATAGGTCATGTTTAGAGGGAGAGACAGACGGCTCATACACAAAGAGACAGACAGTCGTAGAAACAGACAGATAGATGGGTGGACAGACAGGTGGGCGGACGGACGGGTGTCTCACAGTTGTTGTCTGGCTGCAGCGTGGTGGACTTCAGCTGGAAGAAAGACTGAAGCAACAGGAAGAGGAAGCTGGAGACGCACACGGCCTTCACACAGGGACACGCGTTACCTAGGAGACGAGACGGAGACGGAGACGGAGACGTTACCCTGCGATCGAACCGCCGGCATCAACCGGATTAAGGGGAGGAGCTAAACTTCTGATGTCAGCACGGCAACAGGAGCGGGATGTTTACTGTCATTACATCTGTTTCCTCGGGAAGCAATCACTTCCTGTGCTCACCTGAAGAGTGTGTGTCTGTGTGAGTGTTTGTGTGTCTGTCTGTGTGAGTGTTTGTGTGTCTGTCTGTGTGAGTTCAAGCTTTATTATTGTTTATTTTGTTTGGTAGCCCTAAATCAGCCAGTCACAGCGAACAACAACAAACAATGTACAAGACAAAAATACACAAGATGAATAACAATGTGAGTGTGTGTGTGTGTGTGTGTGTGTGTGTGTGTGTGTGTGTGTGTGTGTGTGTGTGAGAGCCTCAGGCAGCAACAGATTTACAGCAGGTATGACATCATGATGAAATAACATGTGATTAAGATGATGTCATTCGATCAACAGCTGGTTGCATGAAACAAAGAAGAGGGTCCTGGTCTGCTCTTGATCAGTGTTGATCTTATTGGTTAATGGTGATTGACTATCACTGATTCTGATCAATATGGGTGGTATTGATCAGTCGTGGTACCTGTGGGGGAGGACGTGGGTGGTCCTGGCAGTAGAGGCAGCAGCAGTAGCAGGAGGACGTAGACCAGAGAGAATCCATTAAACCTCAACGCACAAGCTGTGAACACATCAATCAGTTCATCATCACTGATCAATCACATCCATTAGTCAGAGATGTGTATATTATATGTATAATGAGTTCTTTAAATGTGTCAATAAAGTTGTCCTGTTTGATTCTGACACAAGATGCAGAAACTGTCTCAAGATGAAGGTCTTCCTCCCCCCCCACACACACACACAGTTTCCAGCTGTGTGTGTGTGTGAGTGTGCGGTGGGGGGCAGACAGGAAGCGGGTGCCTCTCTGTTTAAATTCCCCTCCCCCATCAACACACACGGGTAGGTTCCACTTTCTCAGGTAACAACATCTGGCTGTGTGTGTGTCTCTGTGTGTTGACACATTGCTTGCTTACCACACACACACACACACACACACACACACACATTAACACCTCCCCCTCTCTCTGGAATGTGAGAAAGTTTTAAGGGAAATTCTCCCTAAAAACTGAATGTGCGGCTCAACATGGATCTGTCATCGGTTCAAGGGTGCAGCAGTTAGCTCAATGCTAACAGGGCCCATGGTGTAGAATGAGGAATGCTAAAGCGAAGACGTAGTGTGACTGTGTGTTACTAAATGAATATGAGCTGCAGGCTCAAGAGAAAACGCCATCTCCATAATGTGAAGAACATAGTGGAGCTTGTCTGCCCTGGACAGCTACACTTTGATATGAAAATGAGTTTAAAAGGATTATTATGATCATCAGACTTTCTGTTTTATGTTATTCTGCTGAAAAAGTATTTCTGTGATTGGTCGTGTTTATCTCAAACTTATTTCTGGTTAAGTTAAATAGCTGCAGACACTACTCAGGGATCAGCTTTGATTTATGCCTGCAGACACTACTCAGGGATCAGCTTTGAGTAATGCCTGCAGACACTACTCAGGGATCAGCTTTGATTAATGTCTGCAGATACTCAGGGATCAGCTTTGATTAATGCCTGCAGACACTGCTCAGGGATCAGCTTTGAGTAATGCCTGCAGACACTACTCAGGGATCAGCTTTGATTAATGCCTGCAGACACTGCTCAGGGATCAGCTTTGAGTAATGCCTGCAGACACTACTCAGGGATCATCTTTGAGTAATGCCTGCAGACACTGCTCGGGGATCAGCCATGATTAATGCCTGCAGACACTACTCAGGGATCAGCCATGAATAATGCCTGCAGACACTACTCAGGGCTCACTATGAATTACACCTACAGATAAGGCTGGCAGTAAACAATTGTATACAAAAATTGTACATTTACAAAAAATATCCCGCCGAACTGCATGCTGGGTACAGCTCACAACAAAAAGTAGCTCTGTTGCGATACAAGACAACCAGAGACCAGAGATGCACCAACTCAACTTGTGCCCAACAGAGGAGCTGAGTCTCTTTGGAGGGGTTTTGGTTTTGGAAAATCCGACGTAAGTTACGTTAGATCAGAAAATGATGGCCGCTGGTGCCAAACTAGCAGCCACAACAAGCTAACACGCTAACTAGCTAACATAAAACTAGCTACCTGCAGACACTGCTCAGGGAAATCAATGACTAATACCTGCAGACACTAATCAGTGCTGAACTAGGTTCAATACCTGCAGATTGCTCAGGGATAATGAAGACTAGAAAAATTATCGCAGAAACATAAATAATGAACCAAAATTGACATTTGTCAAAAACCATATTTAAGGAATTCAAATTAAATGATAAAAACTACCATTAGTAGTAATACTCTGATAATATAGGACAGGGCAAAGTAGTATTCATTTAGTACATCAGTGATCACCATTTACGGCTCAATCCTACCTGCAGTCAAGCTGAGGGGCAGCAACACCCTGAGGACCAGCCCGACAGTCACCTCTGAGGGCATCCTGAGCCCATGTGGTCTCCTCAACCCGCAGTAGTAGTAGTACGGGGCAGTTGATCCGGGTCCGGTACTGGCTCAACGGGATGTCAGAGCTTCTTGTGGCCGCCGAAGGGGCCTCGGGGCCGGCGGACGGCGGCGACACGCCCCGGTGCCATCCTCCGGGAACCACAGACAGGCTGAGAGACAGACAGGTCAAAGACAAGAAGATAGACAGATGCTGGCTGTCTCACTTTCTGTCCAGGATCAATTAGCTCACAGAGGGACTGCTGTCTCTCTTTGTCCAGCTGTCTCTCTGCCTGTCTGTCCGCAGGCTGAAGGTTCGAATCTCCGGCACAGAAGTTTAAATATTAGTAGACTAAAAATGAAAAAGTTTATTTTCTTTTTCTCTTTCTCTTTCTTCTTCTTCGTCCTCTCTTCCAGAAGAAACAACTGGAGAACTGGACTTTTTCTTCCTCTTCTACGTCTCTTCAGTTTCTCCGCTGAAAAACACGCCGACACTCATAAACGAGTCTTTTGGAGCTCAGAGGCTCCGCCCACCAGCAGATTGACACCTCCCTCGGCCAATCAAAGTTCCGGCCGAGGATTTAATCGGAAAACGAGACCAGTACAATTCTGGAGTAAAGATCAAATAATGATTTTTGGACCTAAATATATAAAGATGTATATTTTCTGGTAAATGTTTGCAATAATAAGATCAATAAAGTTTAATAATTTTATCACATGAATAATGTTGTCTCTTTAATGATATATAACATTATAACATTCATTATTACACATTTTATAAAAGGTGATGAGGATGACCTCGTGAATCAGAGAAAAAGAAGAACAAGATATACAATATATATATATAGATATACAGTATGTGTATTTATTGTATTTATTGTAAGCTGCAGTACAGGATAGCAGCCACCAGAGGGAGCCACAGACTGTTGAACACAGTCCTTAGAGCCCATAATAACCATTATTAGGTCGCCATGGTTACCATGTTCCGAACGATGAGTTACAGTCTTCTACATACCAGGTTAGTTAGCTGTTCATTCAAAACTGCTGATCTACACTGCAAGTCCCACAATGCTGTGTGATAAACAGCTGGGGGGCGGGGGGGGGGGGTGTAATCTGTGTGGGCGGGGCTTTATGGGTCAGAGTAAAAACCACTAATCCATCCAAACAACAGACGGGACGAGAGACAAAAAGAGACAGACATCATTTAAAAGGAGCTTCCTCTTCATCATCTTTGTCCTCTTCTTCACGGAGACCCGCGAACACCTGCACAGGTAAACCAGAAGGTCCATTTAAAGCAACGTGATGGGATCTGTCTATCATCCTCCAACATCTCTGTCCTCCTCCTCCTTATCCTCCATCAACCTCATCCTCATGCTCCATTATCATCTCTATTCTCCATCACCGTCATCTCTATCTTCCATCACCCTCACCCTCATCCTCCATCAACCTGACCCTCACCCTCCATTATCATCTCTGTCTATCACCGCAATGGACGACAACACAACTTCAACACAACACAACTTCATCCTCCATCACCTTCATCTTTCATCTCCTCGTCCTCAATCTTAATCGCCTTCATCCTCACCTCCACCCTCCTTCCTCATAATATTCCTTCATCTAATAACAGGACGACACAAGCTGTGTTAAAAGTTTGTGAGATGTGTTGATAGTCAGAGGTCAGAGGTCATTCACTTTGGGAATCTGTTTGACGTGGTTTCTTCTTCTTCTCCTTCGCTTCCTGTCTCCCAATAACTGGTGAGTAACAATTAAAACACACTCAGTCAATGAATGTAAAAATATTACTACTGTAGTAAAAATACTCTCTAATCGACTGTACTATATGACAGATACTCCAGTATATGTAGTAATGTACCACTATACATTGTAGTAAACATAATAATAATAATAATAATAATGTTATGCTGGTATGTAAGTAACTACCACAACATACTTTATTGATCCCAGGCTGTAAATATGGTATTTATACCTTTCATAAAAAATCTCCAATTAATATAATACTAATAGGATATAATACCATCAATGCAGAGCGGTCTCTGCAGCGTGCGTCATGACGTCACTGCTCCACCGCCCGGCGTTGTGACGTAGAGGTGACGCGTAAAAAAAGCGTGTGCTAGAGGAAGAGAGAAGGCAGGCGTCCTGCACGAGGACAGGTAAATATGTGATGATGGTTTATATTTACAGGAGATGAGGAAGA